CCGGGCTCCGCTCTGCGCCCTTCGAGGGAGGGAGCCTCGTGCGCTGCGCTCGCCGGGCCCCAGGATGCGGTGCAGCCGAGTGCTCGGGTCATGCGGTCGGCGAGCGCGGCTCTGCATCCCCAGGTCCCGCTTAGCCCGCAGGCGGTCGGGCTGACTGTCCCGTTATGGGGTGCACCTGCGGCTCTTGCCACTTGAGGTGCACCCGGCCACACGGGCGGTCCATTATCTGCCGTTTACAATGGCATCTCCTGGGTCGGAAGAGACCTGGAGACTTTTGCTGACCTTTAAAATCTTTTTTTCCTGTGGTCATCTTTGTGGAGAGCTTCTGGTACTGCATTGTCAAGGCAATGATGTATTTATGATGTATTTGGGCAAGAGAGAAAATCAGAACTTTACGCTAGGAAGTATCATAAATTGTGCAGATAGAACCTAGTCTACAACTCTATTTGTAACCCTGTCCTTGGTTGTTTTTTTTTTTCCTTCTCTCAGGTGTAGAGCCACAGCACTGCAAACATGTCTATTGGAGTACCAATTAAAGTCCTTCACGAGGCTGAAGGCCACATTGTGACGTGTGAGACCAACACGGGTGAAGTGTACCGAGGGAAGCTGATTGAGGCTGAAGACAACATGAACTGCCAGGTATGCCTGCTTTGGGAGGAGGCAGGAAGGCTGGCTGAGCTGTGTCTGCCAGGAGAGCCTGGCAGCTTATCAGCAGCAGGATGGAGAGACCCTTTTAGTCTTGGAATAAAACGCGCTGTACTGCTGTGTGCCCGTTCCACAGCAAAATGGACCCAGGATTGCTCAGTGCTCCTAAAAGGCCAGAGTTTATTCTTTCTGATTTTAGAGCCAGACTGAGCATTCTTGTCAATAATGTCAAGATTCCTAAGGTTCTGTGAACAGTGGTTCTGCTGGAGTTCTTTACTTAAGCTACTGAATGCAAAAATAAACTTTGATTTAAGTTTTTCTTAAACACATGTTACTTTAGGCATCCTAAGAGGGCTTAATTTGGACTGACTTTAGGCAAGCCATTGTTGAAATTAAAATGCTTCCTTAATAGTTAGGACCAGAATAGCTTTATTAAAACCGATTCAATCTGAGAAAACAAACCCAATTCAAACTAACTTGCAGGCTGGGTAGAGAGCAGAAGTCCTGGGCCTGCCTGGACAGCAGCAGGCTTAGGAGCACCTTCGAGTTGTTCTGGGTGCTGTGTGTCACAGCTGCAGCTGAGAAAGCAGCATGCTGGGCCAGTCCTTGGCTTTGGTGCTTGGGTCCTGGCTGTGCGTGGTGCAGGTGAGAGAAGCAGGAGCACAGGACTGTGCTGGGCTCTGTGAGCACTGACTGACCTTTGCCTCCCAGATGTCCAACATCACGGTGACGTACCGGGACGGGCGCGTGGCGCAGCTGGAGCAGGTCTACATCAGAGGCAGCAAGATCCGCTTCCTCATTTTGCCCGACATGTTGAAGAATGCTCCTATGCTAAAGAGCATGAAGAATAAAAACCAGGGCTCTGGAGCTGGGCGAGGAAAAGCAGCTATACTGAAGGCTCAAGGTGCGTGCAGGTCACTCGCCGTCGTGTGCCTCTCGTGTCCCCTCCTCTTCTGCTCTACAAGAATAGGGAAACTGTTATCTCTGTCACTGAGGAAGCAGAAGTTGTAAGAAACTAAAAGATTACTGGTTCATGTCTTGTTTTCCTACGTATTGCATCTTAGGGGAGTCAATTCAAACTGTCCAGCTACCTGGCAGTCACATTAGCACGGGTAATGATGCTACAGTAGTTTAGATATAGTGAGTGGCCTTGTTAGACAGAGGCTTTATATAACGCTTATTCTCCTGTTCTGCAGTGATTGTGGCCACTAGCTCTTTGGAGTATGTAGGGAAGGATCCAGGTGTTCTTGTTAAGCCTTTGTAGACAATAAATTCAGATACTGAGCTGGTCCTTAAAGCACTGAGCAGCTTTGATTTTTTGCCATTCTGTAGTTCACTGTCACTTGTACCTTTCTCAGAGAAACGGTCTAGTTGTAACAGGACTGAGTAATAATCATGGGCTACACATTCCTTGGTTAACTTTAGCAGATGCTAAATGGGGGAGTAACATCTGCAGAAACCTACAGAGTTCTGTTACAAAACTTTGGGAGGCCAGGAGTTTAAATCTCATGAGCTGTACAGATTTGGGGGGGTGCTTAGAAGGAACACAAAGTGTATGAATTTGGACTCCATCCAAGCAGCAAGACTGTGTAACCATTAGTTCTGGTTCTCACAGGAAACTTCCTGCTCTGGTGCCACTCTCTGAACTTCATAGGATAGCCTTGCTTCCTTCTAAGCAAGAGACTTTGTCTGTTTTGCTTGTCAGTTGTTGAGATAAATATGCAGTGTTGCCAGATTCCTGTCATCCTTGATATTTTCTTTCTTCAGTGGCTGCAAGAGGAAGAGGTCGTGGTATGGGCCGTGGCAACATCTTCCAGAAGCGAAGATAATTTTGGTCTCGACCAACGTGTGTTTTTTTTATTAGGGGGTATTAACTTGGCTGTATGTGCATTCCTATCAGTTCTGTTTAATAAATGTTTCTGATAAAAGCTTGCCTGTTCTTACATGACAGGACTCCTCTTGGGCAAATACATGGTAGGTTGACTTCAAACTTAAAACAGCTTTATCTGGAAAGTAACAGACTGTGTCTAGATTTGGATATGTCATATTTGTGTTTTTCTTCCTCATCATCAAGTTGCCTTTTTCTTGTTTATCCCTGTTGCCATTCATTCTCTAAAGAACCAGAAGGCATTCTAGAGGAAGAATTTTTAAATAGTATGCTTTAAAGTCATCTTAACAGATGCATTTATGGAAAATATAGCAAGAGAGGCAGGTTCCTGGGAAGCAAAGTGCTATGTTCTGCTTTATATGGACCTACAACAGAGAAAGGTCCATCTTCAGAACGGTGTGTTGAGCTTGTGTTCTTGCCTTTCTTGTTTTTCTCCTTGGGTATAGACAGGTATTTTCATTCAGAAAGACAGCTTTGGTAGCCTGAGCCTGGATTTGCTGTGAAAGATTATATTCTAACTCAGTAGTTTTTCACTCCCCTGAGAAAAGAAGACAGACTATAAAATAGGTGTTTTTGAGGATAAATTTGAAATGTTTTGTAGTTTTGAAACAGTGCAGACGCACAGGGAAAGTCTTCTAAATGGTTATCCATTAAATACAACTCTACGAGTGCTGATCTTCTGAAGAAATCTTAGGATCAGCTTTAGCTTTTGGTCTTAACATCTGCACAGAGATTATCAGCTGATCTGCAGGAAGCCAAGTGTAGTTGTAACTTTATTTTGCTAAAAGTGTGGTGGTTCTTACTGACTGAAGTGGTTGAAACGTTTCAGTGGAACATCCTGCATACAATCAGTTATATCCATTGTCAGAGAGTACAAGTACAGAAGCACTAGTCTTGATTTTCTGCTTGGAGGCTGTGACGATTCTCCCTTGTGTGCAGACATGAAAGTTGAACTAATGTATTAATTTGTTGAATTGTCTGTAAATAAAGCTGTATTTGGTCTCACATCACTAGAAAAACCCTGCTACATGTTTTTCTGCCTAGTAATGATCCTAAATATTTGCATTAGAAACCTCCTTAAAATCTGTTCAATGTACGCTGGAGCTGAACTATAAAAACATTGTGGTGTCCTTACGCCTCGACTGCAGAACTTGTCCAAAAGACAAAGAGCTGCTTCAAAACATGGAATGTGAGTCATATTCATATGCCAGAAACACGTTCCCAAAGAGCATTTCCAACTTCAGATCAGCAGTTTGGGTCTTTGGTAACGATACCCAACACTTCCTTGCAGCAATGTGTCATTCTTCAAAGGGACAGTCCCTGGGAAGAGTCGTGACTGGTGGTAGCTGGTCAGGATGTTCTTGGCCTGGGTGAGGTGCAGGTAAGCACAACTAGGGGTCTGTCTGCAGGCTAGAACCTGCCCAGCCACTGCTGCCAACAACTGCTTGCACTGTTTGGAGCTCTTGGGTCATCAGTTTGGTTCTAGCTCTTGCTGTGGGAGTGAAGACATCTTTTCACAGTGTTTCCTCCCCATGTGTGAGGAAAGGCGTCTGCATTTCACAAGACTGTTTTGAGAAAGACTGTCTTAAAATCAACAAGAAGCTGACATCCATTCCCAGTCTGTACTAGATGCCCACTGAGACTGACGTTTTTTAACACACAAAGGAGAGAAGATTTCCATCCTGGTGCTGTACTGTGAGCTTCATGGTAAGAACTGAGCTGTCTGTTGTCATGTGCTGTGCTCATGCTGGGGCTCCCTGGACATGGGCTGGGAGGCAAGAAAGTATTTGTTGACATCCTCTGGCTTTGCTATATGGTCGTCTGCAAGATGTCTGCTGCACTAGTAGGTGGTATTATGGCTGTTTGAAATAGGTGTCTTTTATTTGAGGTCTGTTAACTGGGTTTTATTGCTTTTAAGACCTCAAGCTTGTGAGTGTGTTGCTAATTAATTTGTACAGTGTTAGGCTGCCATTGACAGCAGGAATTTTAGGAATGGCACCATGCACAATTATTTTCTGTATAACTTGAGTCAAGTATCTGCTGCAAGATTTTAGAGGTGCTTTTTCAGCAGCTAGGATTGCCTTCTCTTCCAAAGCAAACACCTAACAGAAACCTGAGACTGGTCAGTGGAACAATAGTGTGTGTGTGTGTGTGTGTTGAAGGCTGGCAAGCTGTTCTGCCCAAAGGAGCCATCCCAGCCATGGCTAGCGTACAGTGAGTGACAGAAGAAGTCACCGTTGCCCTGTTTAGTGGCAGGAGAGGAGTGCTCACAGTTTGAGCAAAGAGTTACCACTTTACCAGAACCCCTTTGGGTCTGGTGTCTGTGGGGTCTCCCCGTAACCTCTCAAGGAAACTAACGGTGAGGATTGCCACATCTTTTTTTGCCAGGAGCATCTGGTACTTTCCAGCCCTTGGAGCTCTGCTTCCTTTTCCTGTAAAGCCTCCAAAAAGAGCTAATAATACGTGGGAAGTGAAGTAAGCCACAGATGAGGGACTTGACTAAAAGTATATTTTGGAAGAGATTGAACATTTTGGCAAGGCTGCAAATCTGGTCCTTTGGCCTTGTGTCTCACCATTTCCTTCTGACTGCAGAATAACCTGTAGCCTTTTCTGAAGGTTAGATGTGATCTTCTTTTGCTGAGGGCAGGGAGAAATGCCACCTCATCTCCCACAGACAGCTACTGGAATGACAAAGGCTTTGAAACACCAAACACAGGAACGCTGGAGAGTATAATGGTTAAATGCTATTTAAACAAATTAAAGCTGCCTGTCGGTAACAGGTTTGGTGGGGATTGTTTCCACTAATGATGACTGGATTACCTCTTCTATTGTTTTTTAAAGTTCCTGTTCCTCCTTCCTGTGCAGTGCCAAGTTTCTGTTCTCTCCACTGAGATCTCTTTTTCCTGCAGCAGCCGATGTGGCATTCAGGAGCAGGGAGGGCAGGGCTGCAAACACCACTTTCTGAAACAACCAGTAACCCTCCTCCCCAGGAGCTCTGACAGAACAAACTCTGCAGCATACCTGCTTCAAGAAATTTCTGTCCCTTCTTGTCTTTCTCACTCTTTGTTTGTGACTGTCCACTGAGCACACAGCAGTGAAACTTTTTTTTTTTTCCCAAGCCAGTGTTGCCTCGGCTTTTAAGCTTTATTTAAAAAATATCTCCATATCAGCTTTGAGGAAGGTACTGTAATTTGTATAGATGGAAAGCTCTGCACCATGAATTCAGGTTGAGGCTGAGTTAGGGTGGACTGCTTACTGCTTCAGAGAGATATTGTCAACTAGTGTTGAACAGTTTGGCATTACACACTGGGAGGAATTTAAGCCCCAGCCAAGACAAACATCACTTAGCAATTTCTACTGACATGCTGTTTTGTTACAGGCTGATTTGAAGGTCCTACGTATGATGTATGTATTATCTGTATGATAAATTAAATTTTCCTTTGACAAAAGATGTCTCATCCACTAGATGGCTCTGGCGGTAAGAGAATGAAATGCAAGGAACCAGAACCCTCTGGAAAGGGAAAAAATGCAAGAAATCTGACTTCTGCTGTAGCATCCATAGACTCAGTACTATTACAAACCGTAGCATGAAATACTCCGCTTATTTTCTTCCCTCTTGGGTGTTCACAGAGTGCGAGGTTCATGGGCCACCAGGTCACTCCAGCTGTTGCTCAATGCTCTGTGTTCCCCCTACTCAGCTAATTGGGTATGTGCACTTGGGTAGGTTGTGCAGATTCCTCCAGTTCACCAACCTGTTTTTAACCTTCCTTTGTCACCCTTTTTTTGGTCATAGATTGCAATATTTCTTTTCATTCTTTGCCATCGCTTTGAGGAGGGGGCTTATAAACCTCTCTCTGTTCAGTGGTTTCAGGGCTCACCGTAGCTCCCTGCTACTGGCAGAGACCAGCTACTGGGCTGAAGGTTTGATGTAAACTTGCCCCTTTGATATGATCAGCACAGATGCCTTTGGAGCACTCCTGCGGGACAGGGAAGCTACACTGCAGCCACACCAAGTGCTGTGTGCAGTAGTGCAGGCAGACATTCCCCCCGTCTTCCTGAGCCAAACCCGAGGCTGTGCTGGGGAAGAACACCAGAGGGGAGACCCCAGTAAGAGCAGAGAAGAGTTAAGTGATTGGAGAAGGTGTCACTTGGAAAAGCTGCTTCGGACAGACCTGTGGGACTTCTCCTTGCTGGACAGGTTCTGTCATTGTGTGCACATGCAGTCCTGCTCTCCAGCTGTGTCTAACTAAACCTGGACTTCAGTTCATCCTCCCAGAGTACTCTGCAAAATCTCAGCCCTGAGTGGTGGTGTGATGTGACTGAGAGAGGCTGGGAAGGGATGGTCTGTGGGTGAGAGGAGCAGCGAGCTATGGGATCTGTTCTCTGACTGTGATTACATGTCATGCTCTAAAAGCCTTCTTCAGGGTAACTGAGCTCTCAAATTGGGGAGAGGCAGCAGCCTATTAATCTCTGCCAGTGAAAAGCAGAAGTAAAGGGATGTGGCCTCTAAATCTCCCATGACCTCTAGAAAACCTCTTCTAGAAAGGCAGAATGGAGTAGAAAATGAGAATTTCTGGTGCTGGTGATCAGAGTAACTGTCCAATATGTATCTCTTTGCTATTTAAGCTTTACAGTGAGCTTTGATTTAAAGTAGAGATGTCCTAGTTCCTCTTGCCAGTACAATGTGAGCAAGGATGGAAGGCTGATATCCCAGTGGAGTAATGATGTAGTAAGGTAGCAAAGGGTGGAATTCTGAGGCCTACAAAAAGTCAGTGATTTGGTTGCTTGTTTCTCAGCCATAGGTCAAAACAGAGGAGGGTTCTCCCAGGGTTCTTTGATGTTTCTGTCCTGACACGGGCAAAAGTTTAGATCCAGACTTGCACCTTACTGAAGCTAAGCTGATGTCAGATGGTAAGACCTGGTCTTTCTCCTCTCCCTTCAGATAGAAGTAACTTTGTGGGACCCTCCTGCCCTCAGCGTTTCTTTGGGAGGAAATACAAATACACCGCGTGTAAAGCACGGTCCAGAACAGCCTTGAAA